AAGGTATTTTTAAAGCCCCTCTTTATGCCTTGACTGGATTATTGTTTATCACTTCATCAGACTAAGCAATAATTGACCGCAGATCTGCATACCTCCCCGAGGATCCTGTAACCATTCTGAGATTTGATAACGCGGTGTTGGTAAGTCTGTCAGTTTTCGCAAATAATTTCAGAGCTCTATCCTTTATGTATTTTTTGATGGGATGAATCTTGAGGTGCCTGACTATGTCATTCGTCTTAATGTACCATAATACTTGAAAAGTCTTCTCAGAGCCTGGCTTTGTGCAATTTCTAGTAACATATTCATATGTATTTAAAATAGAATTTTGTGACCTACATACATATATATATCCAAGACGTCTCTCGAAGTTTTTCTTCTCAGCCTTGTAAAAGTATTGGAGCGGAGAACAGATGTGTAACCAGCGAATTTGGATGCATATTTATGCCATGAGCGTAACTCTTTATAATACGATATATTTCTTCCTATATTGTCGAAGCACGTAGTTGATTATGCAGCTGTTCATTTATTAACTACAAAGGTGTATTTGTGATCATTCGTAATATCTTAGATTGGATTCGCTGGATAATTGCCAGGTTTGAGTCTGCTGCAGTACCGCATTATCGGAGTCCATATTTTGTTATTTTGTTATATGTTATATAGTTATATAATTTATTTGACTTCCTCCGTAGGGCAAAGTACAAATGTATTATACCAATAAACATGAAAAATAAAATTACTAAATTATCAATAATTTTTTCTGAGATCAATATTGGACGTTCATTAATTTTGGACGTCAATAGATCGACGGTAACATCATAAGTCGAAGATTTTTGGCGGCCTTAGCTACAAAGTGATGATCTCGTATTGTTTTCTGAAGAACTAAAGCTATCAGAAATTTTAAATATTTGATTAATGGGCCGCTCTCTTTTTATCCTCTTTATTTTACTATTATTCTCGATTATCATGGACAAAGCCTAAATAAATGCATATTTTTATATTAATTAAAATACAATATAAAATGCTTACCAATAACTTCTTTGTGTCGTTCATTTTACATATATTTTTATAAAAAACCTTTTTATGAAATTATCTGTTGGTATAATATGTTTATTGTAGGTAATCAGTAAACATATGACTTTTTTACTTATCATATGTTCACTGATTTAGGCAGTGATGCCAAATTATTCTTAAACAAACAGAAGTTGTTCTATTGGAGCAATCATGTCAAAAGAACACACCTAGTGTTGTTGTTTTATGTGTCATCTTTGAAAGAAGCAGTTGTTTTTTGCGATATGCTTACAAAAGAATAGGCCTATTATTATACTTTTCATAGTATTATGACTTAAAGGTATAATTAAGTTATTAAAACCTTTACAAAATGATTTATTTTTAAGATTCATATAATATTATGAAAGATATAAAACATTATTCATTTTGAAGTGTCTTTGAGGATGCTATCTTAGTAAACTTATTGATCTTTTTATTCGTACTTAGTTTGCTATACACACGAAATTCTTAGTTCCTAAAATATTTTTTTTTTTACCTTTGAAATCTCTATTTTAGAATTGAAGCCCGGTTTTAGCACCGCTTGCACGGTTAGTAAAGTCAGATTAAAAAATATTTGTAGGGACTCTCTTTGATTCGATAGACTTCGATAGCAGTCTTAATTTTTTATTAAGACAAATTTATTTGATTAGAACAAATTAATTAAATAATTTAACTATTATCTTGAAATGTTCAAATTACTATAATTGGTTTTAATTATGTTATCCTTAGTACTTATAAGTATTTTATTTCATGGGTGTGCTGACCGTCATTGCGTCATTAAGATAGGCAATACAATTAGCACACAAAGTTTTGATACAGACAACCTTTCCATAAATTGAAATATTCTTACTTATATGCGATTGCCTGAACTTTCACATTAATACTATTAAAAGTAAGCGCCAGATTTTATTTATATGGGGTCCGTGAAATCGGTGATAAATTTTTGAAAACATTAAGAGGATACACTTGCAAAAGTGCAAAAAGGACCAAAACCAAAAGCTGCAGACGACAAGACGGAAGTGCAGGAGCACGTGTGGGAAAACGTATTTTATGGAACTGAAACATTGTGTGCGCCAAAAAGTAGAGTAACCATTCTTCTTAAATGATTTTTTTCATGGTTTGTCCCAAAATTTGTGCTGGTTGCTGTAAAAAATTGTGCTGGCTGCTATGGACGATTCGGAAGAACAGAAAAAAACAATACTAGTTGTCGCCAATATTCTAGTAGGTGCTATTGCCAATGCAATAAATATTCCCAGAAGTTCTTGGTGTTGCAAGTGAAGCAAAACGAAAAAAATTCAAGTACAGCAAAACTACCGAAATGCTTAAGATCTTTAATGTGAGCAAAAAATGCTACTGAATGAAGAACGAAAATATTATAGATTTCAGATTAAATCTTAAAGCAAAACAAGTTATTGCATTAAAAAAAATGTAACTTAAAATTTTTGTAAATTTAAGTACTTTAAGAGAGCTAGGTTTACAATTTACAGTTAAAGTGAATAACATTTGAACTGTCCGTTATTGGATAATAAAGTGTCACTTGAATTCAAATAAGTCTCATTTTAGTGTCGAATTGACACCTAAGTATGCATTGTAAAATAGACATAAAGTAAAAGGTTAACCATTTTATGGTACAGATTTAGAAACTGTCAACGAAGACATCACACTTTTAGTTTCATGAATTAAATTTTCTACAGTCTGGTAACAAACAAATTGTCGCATCTGTGAAAATAAAAATCCATAGACAGTGGCGACTAGAGTATAGATCCGGTTGAACAATACAATAAAAAATATTGCCAATAAAATAAAAAAATTATCTTACATACCCCCGCTTTGCCAAAAAATGTTTCCATTCAGAAATAATTACTCGGTAATATGACATTTAGTTTGTAGATGTGAAAGGTCCCTTACATTTGAGAGAATGATGAAAGTGTCACACAAATCATCCATGAAGTACATCATTACTTCACACTGTCATCAAATGAAGTTAAATAAATAAAAGAAATAAATAATCCTACATACAATTTCTACAATAAATAAGAATTATAGCTTACAAAGAGTTTTTTTTCCAAAAATGCCTAAACGCTTGATATAATTGTTTGGTCTAATAAACGAAATGAAGTCATATGACGGGGGAGTGGGAGTACATTTTCAATAATAAACGAGTAATGCCAGGATAAAGAAAAGTCCACCCTAATAACAAATTTTATGCCTAAAATCATTTTGTACGAAAAATAGATTCAGTGTTCAAACAAATCGATTTTGTTTTGAAGATTTGCTGGTGATATCTTCGGAAAGTATCATCAAAAACCACTTATGTCTCGGGTAGAATTTAAAATTTTCAAGTAATTCGAAAATACTCGTATTCAAACATTTGAATCGAACATTTTATATGATTTATGCATTGATCCATTTGAACTGCAAATCTAGATCAAATCTACGCAAAAGCTATATAATATATTTACTAAGTTATTTATATTTTCCCTTCTTACCCATCATTGTGAATGAAGAGTTTACGTTTTTCATATCATATCATAGTTAAAAATGAAATCCTATAATCAGAGTCTTTTATTCATATTTAATTTTATATTACATAAAAACAAGCTTAAGGTAAATTACAATCTTAAATTCAGTGTTCACACTGAAGATGGTTCGTGAAGGAAATCGAATATCTGTTAAATATATACATAAATTAACAACTGTGATATTTTTTATTTAATCTTAAGTTTGCTTTTATATTATATAAGTTGTTATATAAAAATATAATTTCTAAAACACCGGCAAAAATTGAAACACATAAGTATTGTGGTCGACACTAATATAAACATTAGTGGTGTGACTTCAATTGATCTTCAAGTATAAGAGCGCCAAATAGCAAGAAAAAATCAAGAGCAAATTATCGAAATTTGGCAGCAAAAATAGAACAATAGCACTTATGAACTGCTAGACTGATACCAAATATAATCACCTGACTTAAACGAAAATCGGGACACACAAATTACTATGTTATCTCAGTCAAATGCTGACCGTACATAGACATTTTCACACATATGAAAGGGTGAATCTACCCGAGTGCATTTATGGCGACGAAAACTTTGAGGCGCAGCTTTTGCCGTAATAAATTACCCACAATCAGAAAAGAGATAATAGCCCAGATTCGACCAAGAAATCTCGAAAATATAGTGAAAAAGATGTGAGCGATAGAGTCATATGTGATTCAATTCATCAAAGCGAAAAAATTAGTCCTCGAAAGGAAGACCAGAAATTAGGCTAATAAATTGTGCAGACAGCAAGAGAATGCTGGGAAAATGTGGAGATGTGGACACAGAACAAAAATCACAAGAGCACGGCTTGAAATGTCAACATAAAAGAAACCCTCCTCGAAGTAATGAGAAAGCGATTTTGAGGGGAAAAAAGTCTCGCCAAACAAGCGATATTTTAGTGAGTATAATACATATTAATGTTAGGGAGTCGGACACAGCATTCCGTCAAAGGTTGATCTGACGGTGAATAAAGCATCTCCCTTCCTTTCCAATATAACCCCATTTTATATTCGAATCAGCTTTCTTGCGATAGCATCTAATAATTTTAATTTGAAAAAATTAATATTATATTTCTACTCACTCCTTTCTTCACCACTCCAGAAAGTACTTTTCATGCATACATATATGTATCATATATAGTACTTGCAGAAAAGTTCCTTTAATATAGGAAATAGACAAAAAATTAATGCTTCTTCCTTAAAACATGTAACTGTGTGTGTGTGTGTGTGTGTGTGTGTAAAAGTGAAGCAGTTGACACATCATTCAATAATATTTGTGAACTTTGGGTTAACATTATTCTTTCGATTGACTAATTGCATTGTCAGGGCGTATGTTTGTGCTTCGGATATAAAAGTTTTGTGCCCTTTTTACAAACTTTTACTAAACTTTTACTTTTCGATTTAATAATTGCAGTGTCGAGTCCACCTACTACAATACCGCCACCAACAACAACCACAACAATACGCATAACAACGACTGAGAGGTACAACTTCAATACGGCAACTTATGGCGATGTGCCAACAAATTCAGTGATTTCCATCGATAAAAGTAAGTTCGTTCCATTTTCATGTAAGGATTGTCTTCCCTTTTACAGTGCAATTGTGCAGCAAACACAAAACTTTAAATTGCATGACAAAAAATTTTTACCATTCAATTTTTTTTTTGCTAAAATAACACAAAAAATAATGCAAAAAATTACACAAAATCACACAAATAAGTACATTTGGAAATACGTACACATATCCTGCAGAAGGATAAGCTAATCCGTAGACAGACAAAACAAACATTTCTCAAACGTTCAAACGTTCAGACGTGCAATGGTTATGTCAACAATTTGAAGCTCTTTTCAAACTATTCAATTTTTTTCCCAATTCTTTTCCAAATTTTTTTTAATTTTTTTTTTAACTTAAAGCAATTTTATTTTTATTTTTAAATTTAATTTTATTTACTTATGTTTCAGCGAACACCAAGTACCAGTCGAATTTAAATGAAATCGGTAAATCAGAACAAAAGCTCACCGGTGACAACTTGAAAAGCTACGATTGGTCAAAGGATAAAAGCAATGCTGCTTCAATTGGATTCAGTGTGAATTTTATTGTGGCACTGGTCTTTGGCAACATAATCTGGACCAATCTTTGGCGGCTTCTCTTGACAGCTACTGTCGGACGCGGTTTAAGCGTAAGCGTAACATATACGCAAGCGTAAAGCGTTAAGGCGATCCTGCAACTTCAAATTTACGTAGTACGAGCTAAATCCAAAACACAGAATAAACTAAATAAAAAATCGTAAAAAAGAATTAAAACAAAAGAATTTAAAATAATAATAAACAAAAAATATTAAGCGATAAATATAAATATAAAAATAAAAATTAAAATAAAATTTAAGAAGAAATGCAAAATTTGTTAAAAATTATAAAATATAATCAAAACCAGGTATGAAATCTTTGCAGTGCTAATTAACAATATTTTTAAATTCTAATTTAATATATTTTATAACTTTAAAATTATATTAATGTATAATATTTGTTTGACGGCTTTGATATGAAAAACATAAAGCATTTATATAAATAAATATTATATACAAAAATAATTAATTTGCGTGTACGTATATAATATTTTAGTTCATTGTTTTTACACATCACATTTGTTTATAATAATTTTATATTTTTATAATGGTTTTATAATTTTTTTAATAATTTTTTTACAATATTGTTATAATTTGTTTCATATATTTTTATAATTTTTTTTAAGTATTGTTATTATTTTCTTAAAATTTTATAACTATTTTCATAATTTTTTTTATAATATTTTTTGTATTGTTTTTATAATTTTTTTATAATTTTTTGCACACATTTTTTTTTAAATGTTGTTATAATTTTCTTTAAATGTTGTGATAACTATTTTTATAATTTTTTTAGTAATTTTTTTATAATTTTTTTATAATGTTTTAAAATTTTTTTATATATTTTAATAATTTTTTTTTAAATGTTATTATAATTTTCTTTAAATGTTGTTACAACTATTTTTATAATATTTTTAATAATTATTTTATAATTTGTTTTACTATCTTTTTTCATGTTCTTATAATTTTTATTACAATTTTTTTTATTAATTTTTTGAATAATATTTTTATTATTTTTTTAATAACTTATTTATTATTTGTTTTAAATGTTTTTATAATTTTTTTATATATTTTTATAATCTTTTTTAAATGATGTTATAATTTTTTTTAAATGTTGTTATAACTATTTTTATAATTTTTTTAATAATATTTTTATAATTTTTTTATAATTTTTTAAATTGTTTATAATATTTTTTTTGAATGTTCTTATAATTTTAATTACAATTTTTTTTAATTTTTTGGATAATTTTTCTTATAATGTTTAAATAAATTTTTTTAAATGTTGTATAATTTTTTTAACAATTTTTTTATAATTTTCTTCAAATGCTTTTATATTTTTTTTTTAAATGTTATAATTATTTTTATAATATTTTTATCATTTTTTTAATAATTTTATTAAAGTTTTTTTTATACTGCTTTTATAATTTTTTCCAAATCCTCTCATAATGTTTTTATTAATTTTTTTACAATTTATTTTATAATGTTTTTAAAATTTTTTAAAATGTTGTTATAATTATTTTTATAATACTTTTATTATTTTTTTTAATAATTTTATTATAATTTCCTTTATAATGCTTTTATAATTTATTCCAAATCCTCTCATAATGTTTTTATTAATTTTTTTACAATTTATTTTATAATGTTTTTAATATTTTTTTTAAATGTTGTCTTAATTTTTTTTATAATATTTTGTTTATATTTTTACTGATTTTTTTATAATTTATTTTAAATGTTTTTAAAATAATTTTTATAATGCTTTTATAATATAATTTTCCTATTTTTATTTACAAACTTTATTTATAAATTTTTTACAAATTATATATAAATTTTTTATAATTTGTTTATAAATTTTTTTATTAATAATTTTGTTTTTAAAACGGAGTGATGATCAACAGTTAAATAACAAACTTTTTTAAAAAAATTTGGTTTTTAAAAAATTCATTTAATTGAACTAATATATACATTATATTTTATAACCAATTTTAACGTGTCTTAAGAACATGTTTAAAAAGTAAATATTTTTAAAAAGTGTAAAATTTAACTATTGACCACCAAGCCCGTTTCAAAAAAAAAGTTACTATTAAAAAACGATGGTCATTAAAACAACATATTTTTTTATATAGAGTGCTTTCTATTAAAATCGTATTATTCAATGATAAACTAGGAGAGTCCTTTATTTAGTTATTCGAGGAAAAATTTTAATAATTGAAATGTAAATCTAATTATATATATTTAAAATCAAATCAAATGAAGATGGCAATGATAAGGTTTATGGGTTACGCTAAGGCCTTTATGCACTGCAACCAGCAGTGCACCCCTTTATATTTAGACATTTAGTACCTCGAGGAATCGAACCAGCTCCTTTGGAGGGACTTTTTGAAGGTCTTCATCCTCTAAATAGTAAGCATCCAATATTTTATTTTTTCTGTGGCCTAGTACATCACAGTTGGTGATCAGGTTTCATAGACTCTCTTTCTCATCACAACTAAATCTGCAAATATTTGTGTCGAATATACCTACAGGTGATTATTGCAGGCGGCTTGGCCTGTTAGTGCACCAGAGAGTGACTTTAGACTCTTCTAGTTACGGTTAAGAACGAGATTTTTGCACTTTTGGCACCAAATAGCAAGAATTTTTTGGAATTACATAGACCTTCTATTGAAGATACTATTTTTTAAATATAAAAAGGCTAAATAACAATTAATAAAAACAACAATATTTTATTTGAAAGTATATGAACATTTTTAATACTCACATTTTAATAATAATGCTCACATCCCATCTTTCTATATATACATCCCATCTTTATATATATATACATATATAAAATAAATACTGACATATATTAAGTCCTGCTTCCCGTTTCTTAGATTACTAAGTAACACCTGACTACTTGAATACTTGACCGAATAGTAACTTTTAATATGGAACTAAAGCTATTTCCCTAAACTGAACTTGAAAAGGCTGTAATAAAGCACTTTGATATTGATGTTAGCATTACTTTCAACATGAGTTTTGTTTTACTATATATATTTAAAATTCTATTATATTAATTGGTGTTTAAAAGATATAGTTATCTTCTTTAATATCAACTGTACGAATCTTGGAATATCCTACTTTTACATATGTACTTGGAAGTATTCATTTAACTTCCAGTTTAGAAATAAAGTTAAATTAAATAAACTTTTTGATTTTAGAAATGTTTCTAAAGGAATTTTTTTAAAGTTGAATCCTTTCAGGATTTTAAAATAAATTGAGTTTGTTAAATTACCCGTATACACATAAACAAATATTCCTAATATTGATATATATTCTAATAAGATATTTTTACAAACACTAATAATGCTCTAAAGTATAATATAAAGAAAGTAATATTATTTAAATATTAAATGAACAACGAACCTTTTCAAATATAACTAATAGATATCATATATAAGACATTAAGGTATGTGCTTTTTATTTTAAGAGGTTGAGAGTTTCCAACGTAGTCAGCATATATGCAGGAATTGATTTCTGGTTCCACAAAATGAGAAAAATCTTACAGGAGAGAGAGAGAGAAACAATCAGATAGTGTCCAAGAAGAGATAGTGTAAAAAATTCAGTCAAAAACATTCTCTTATATGTTAAATGTGGATAATTGAAATATTTTTTAAATTGTTAAGTATTTTTTTATTTAAAACTTAACGTATATTAGTATTCACATGGGCAAAGAAATTGTGACGGGTCAAGAAAAATTTATTTAAAAATTATAAATCATTCTTGTGGAAAGGATTATAATTAAAATAATCCTAAATTTTAAACTTTATTAATATCAGTTTTGACCAGTTCGTTAGTTTGATACATATAATATACATATATATTTAAATTAAAATTTAAAGCAAATTGTTATTTCATCATATTAACCCGTCATTTGTCTGGTTATTGTCAATATCTTCTGTATAAGTTGAATAATTTAATTTAATTATTTAATTTATTTGAAAATTAATATTTTGTAACAGTATTAAAGAATATATTTTCTTTCCAATCAATTTTTTTTTAATTTTATTTTTTTATATGTATTAAAATCTTATCATCTTTGAAAAACCTTTTGTAAAAGGATTATCCTTACATTAGGCATTGTTACCCGTAACCGATTTTTGACCCGATCCACCTACTATCTTTTTCGACAATAATACCCATCTCTACTGCAGTTTATAAGTAGTATTAAATAAATTTATGGGCTCTAAATAAAAAAGCGTGCACACAACCCACTGCTTTTCAATTTTTTTTTTGAGACTAAAGTATCTTCCTAGGGAATGATAGGGCGCTAGGGTGATAGTTCCTAGTATATCATTGAATTGTAGAGGTCTTTTAAATATTATTTAATATTTATTTTATTTTAATATTTGTATATATAAAATATATTTAAAAAATTTTTATTATCTCTTTAATATGATATTGTGAGTTTTGTTGGTTAATTGTTTCAAAAAAATTTAAAGATTTAGTTATGAGATCTTAAATGTTGAAACGAAATTTCATTAATTTTGTGTATTTTGAGTAAATAATATTTATTTGGAACATGATGCTTGGTAATAAATACTATCCCCACATTTGATGTAATTGCTTTTTTAAAATGTTGTAAATAAAACTCATACCATATATTGAATTCTTATATATACATATAAACAATAAAAATTACTGAATGAATTGATAAAATATATAAAAAAAAATTGCTTAAATATAATATTAAAAATATGTATTATAAGAAATTAAAACAAACTTAAGGAGTTTATTTGTATTATACATGGCTAAATCTATAAAACATGAATTATGAATGAGCTATATATGCTTAATATATGAATATATGTAAATTCAGATAAACATTATCTGATCAACAAAAAGAACTAAAAGTAACTTCGGTCAAATCCGAAAATTGCTTAACCCACATCTATAGCTTACATACTTACAATATGTCTATAAAGTAAGTGAAATCTAAAAGAAAGTTTTTATATTTCATAATTTTTATGTTTTATAATTAATTGTTATTATTTATTGATAATTTAAATATAATTTATCGAGAAAGTAAATATATATATAGTTTATTTAATTATTAAGAACTAGGTTCATACAATTATTTAAGAAAAAATAAAGATTTGATAATATTAT